GCGCACACGTGCGCCGCACCTATGGTACCAATCCTTTACCTGGTAATCTAGTATGCTAACTATGGATCAATCTATCAATCTACTACTTCTGTGGATTATACGTTTCTACTGGAGAACAGCCTTGCCTTCAAACAAAAAAAAAAAGAGAAGGGAAACTGTGGCTGTGACACTCTTAGTTTGAAATAGGCAAGAAAAGACAAAGTGGCACCGGTGTCATGCTGCGAATTCCAAAATGTGCAAGGTCTAAAACTGCACCAGTCATTACCCGCAGTGGCTCTTGGCAGATTTAGGGGGGTCGCCTTTTTTGCTCCATTTCGGTAACTGCTAAAGTTGCCTATTCTGAACGTTGGGTATGACTCCAACGTACTTGCCCCCCGACCAAAAAAAAACAGTAGCAAATGTTACAAATTGTTGACTACTATTTAGGGAGAAAATGCAGAAAATATGATTTCTGGAGGCCTCTCTTCTCTTTGGGCCACCTTCAACAGGTCTGAAAAGACTTCCCATCTACCCATGAAGTCTTTGAGAGATTTTGCATATCTTTTCTTTTGCACTTTATAGTCCCAATCTGCCAAAATAGCCTGTTTTATGCCAAATTTGGCTTCGGCTCTAACCATTGACGGCGTCAGTTGTTCTCCTCTTCTCACCGCAGAGTTTCGCGGAACTGGGCATGAGAGAACCCGAACCAGAGACACCAACTGATACCGCTTCATCGGTCTGCTACCAAATTGGCTGAGAACCGGGCTCAGCGTCCCTTTTTAAATACATAGATAAAAGTTGAGAAAAGAAACTGAGCATGATATAAACAGAGGAAATCAGCCGTGCTGGAAACGGGTCCAGCATCCCATGCCATGGACATGAGAAACCTATCCGTGCTGGGAACCGGGACCAGCGTCCTATGCCTTGGACAAAACAGAAACAAAAACAGGGGTCTACCTCTTCATCCATCATGTTGAATGCCAGATCATCCTCTGAAAGCAATTGCGGAAGCCTTGCCTGCATGTTGGAAGCAGCTGATGGACCTGTCGGTGGTGAAGCATGTGAGCCTGTTATGGTTGATAATGCACCAGGCTCTCCCTGTTGCAGCCTGGTGTTCCAGGCGAACCTCCAAAGCGGGCCCTACATGTCAAATATGCCTGGGGACAAGGGTTGAAGATATACAACATTTTGTCCTGCTCTGCGACCTTTCTCGTCCGTTTTGGGATTGGTGGAGAGGTGGTTCTGTGCCTGTTCCGGACGCCGCAATATGCTGGTCTGACCAATTTGTTTTGATGGGAGCTGCTTCTCGAAGGCCGCACCACAGAGATAAGTTGTGCTAGGAAACAATCAGAGGGGCAATACTGTGGACCAGCTATATGTATTTTCTCTCACCTCACATATTTTAACTGGCTTTCTGCCATGTCATGAAACATATCTTTTTCCTTTCACGACCTACCACTACTCCTAAGGCTATACAGGGGACCCCTGCAAGCATAGCTTTCTACCTCTCTTTGGTGAAGGGAGGGTACCTCTCTCGGTGGAGGGAGGTAACCGCATGTTTGTCCCTTTGCCCTAGCATTTAGGGTGCAGGGTTGGGGCCGCCGGTGGGGGGCTGCGTATTGGAAGTTGTCTTTTTTTTTTTTTTTTTTTTTTTTTTTTTTTTTTTTGCCGGGGGCAAGTATATACAAATCCGAGGGCAGCAAAATCAAGATGTTTGTATATTTAAAAGTTGTGTTTTAATTTTTTTTTTTTTTTTTTTTTTTTTTTTTTTTCCAAATAATAGGATGTGGAAAAGAGAAATAGCAAGTCTCTTTTTGATTGGCAGCGCTCCAACTCGAAAAAGAAAATCAAGTACTCAAAGACGTTGGGTCAATAGCAAGCCCCTCGAGTACTTCATTTCTATGCAATATAGAAGAATCTCTTGTTTGAGAATGAAACCGTCACTAACATAGTTAGTCGGTCACACTAAGGGACTCCGTCACAACGATCTTTGCGTACTTCTCTCTCAGCGGTGGCAGTCAAGCAGCGAATTGTCTCTGTGGCAATTTGCAGCACTTTGCAGCACTTTAAAGGTCGGCCTCAATACCATATTGGGAAATGATACATGCCCAGTTGGGCGATGTAAATATATAGCCAAGGATCCGCAATGTGATGAAAAGGACTGAATGGACAATGCAGTGCTGGTAGAATCTCAACAAGCAGTGCACATCCTCATACATACAAAAATGGTGCTTTGTAGCGCAGTGGAAGACTTAGATAAAAGTCGTGACCTGACAGGGACTGACCCCCCTCACGTAGTACAAGACAGCGTAGCGAAATGCTAGATTACCAATGACTAGCCCAACCAATGTCGCAATGCAGACCCAACATACATCATCCTCATCACAAGGTGTGAAGGGGCCTGGCGCTACACACAGGAAGAACGCACCAGGTCCAGACCATACACAGACGAAGAGGAGGGGATCAGACGAAGAAGAGGGGGAAGATGGGAATGTCGTCAATATCAAGTCTTCGGTACAAGTCCCAGATAATCCCTCGTCAAATGTCTGAAGCTCAATGTCGAGTCTGGATCCAAATGTCACCAATCCCGCTCTCTCTCGTAGTCTGCTGATGCAGTGAAGTCAGGTAGCGAGAGGGTGAGAGGGAGATGAAGGACTCATCGCGCTGCAGGTAAGTCTCCCTGGCCTCCGCCCAATCTCTCTCTCTCTCTCCCGTACTACTCTAGCTCCTACTAGCGCCCAGCGCTGAAGACTACTGCTGATGCTACTACTCCTACTGCAGCGCTCCTCCAGAGTGCTGCTGCCGAATCCTGAAGACTACCACCTGCCTCCTGACTGCACGTGAAGTGCCTGGGAAGTCCCTATGAACTACCTCCAGCCTGCAGGGCGGGCCAGTCTTATATAGTGCTGGCCCRTCCAGGAGGCTGCTCTTGCCAATGCCAAAACGTGCCAGACCCTGGCGTTGAAGCTCAAACAAAGGTTGTCTTGAAAACAGGCCCAAAATGGCCTGTGCTAAAACCCTGGTCTGGTGCCTGAGTTTCAGGGCAGGTCGATCTCATGAGGGCCTGAAAATGGCCCTACGTTTCAGGCTGAAAAGACTAAGGGCCTGGAGGGCCCTGTTTTAGGCTGAAACGACACATGGCCTGTAGGCCCTTGTTTTCAGGCTTTCAGGCTGAAACGACACAGGTCCTGAAGGCCCTTGTTTTCAGGCTTTCAGGCTGAACGACACAGGCCTGAAAATGACCCTTGTTGTAGGTGCAACATGTAACAGACACTAAGTCAAGCCGGGTCGCGGGCGAAGCTGACGATCTGAAAGTGGAACCTGGACGCAGGTGCGATGTGGAGCCGAAGATACCGGCTTGCCTTGCATTTTGCGTTCGTAGCATGCGAGAACATCTGGAGCAGTTGCTTGGAGTTCCGCACGGGTCAACCAACTGTCAACTTTGTGGGTGCAGTACGCAAAGTGTACCAAGTACTCAGTTGGCCTGTTGCCGTACCGTCGCTGGGAGATGATGTCGCCAACCTCTTGAAAACCATCCATCGAGGGTGGGACTTGCGATCGTCACCCAGGGAAGTCGTCATGTTCCGCTGGCGTGCAAAGAGCCAACTTGGAGCAGTGAAAGACCGGGTAGACGGGCAAGTGGGCAGGCACCTGAATGACAAAGGAAGGTCCTTCGGGTGCATCCCCCGCTGGTGCCACGGTCGGCCAGGGCCCCATCCATTTTGGGAGGAGCTTGCGAGAGATATCTTGTTCGAGGCTGAATTCTATGGCGGAAATCTAAACAAGGTCGCCGGCGCGGAATGGACAAGGAAGACGCTGACGATTGGCTTGTTGGTTCATGCGTTGCTGCGTCTTAGCCATCTGGTTGCGTGCCTTGACAAGAAGCTCTTGCATCTGACGAATGAAGAGAAGATGGTTGTCGCTCTCGGCCGCTCGTGGAATGATTGTGTCCAATGGAGAGTTGACCAGCGAGCCGTGCTCGAACTCGAAGGGTGACATCCCGATAGCCGGGTGGATGGACGAGTTGTATGCCAACTCGACATCCGACAGCCGCTCAACCCAATCCTTTTGGTCGGGACGGACGAGAGTGAGAAGGAGAACCTGTGCGGTCTGATGCGCCCTCTCCGTTTGGCCATCGGTTTGGGGGTGGCAAGCCGAACTTGGCTTGAGAGATGAGCCCCATCGTTTGATGAGCGCCAACAAAAAATCGGACATGAATTGAGTGTCGCGGTTGCAGACGATTTCCTTGGGGTAACCCTTGGTTCGAATCCAACTGGCATAAAGAACCTCGACCAACTCTGGTGCCTTGGCATGATAGCGGCAAGGCAAAAACATGGCGAACTTTGTGAGTCGGTCGACCACCGTGAGAATCTCATCCAGACCCGTCTTGTGCTTGGGGAACGACCCGGTAATGTCCATGGCAATCGCTTCCCTTCGGCGCAAGGGGATTGGTAATGGTCGCAACTCGCCATACGAACGATGATTGCGGGATTTGCAACGTCGGCAAACCTCGCATGACTCGCAATAACGTGTGACGTCGTTGAGAAGACCTGGCCACCAAAAGCGCTCGCGTAGTCGGCCAATCGTACGATTGACTCCAAAGTGTCCGGTGGCAGGAGCGTCGCGGAACTCGCCAAGAAGCCGTGTGCGCAAATGTAAATCTTGCGGCACACAAAGAAGCTTCCCTCGTGAGTGGACGAGCAAGTACCCCTCTTGGATCCGATAGTGAGATAGCGCCGGATTGGGAAAGGAGCAATTTGCATACTTGTCACAAAACTCGGGGTCGACTTGGTAGCCGCGGATGAAGCTGTCCCGCAAGTCGTCGTTAATCTCCAAAGTTGAGTAGATTGCGGTACAATGGTCCGGACGTCGTGAAAGAGCATCCGCAAAACGGTTTGACTTGCTTGGAATGTGGTCGGGGAAAAAGTCAAACTGGTCGATGAAGGCCATCCAACGGGCAATGGTGCTATTGACCGTGTCTTGGGTCTCGTAAGAGACCAACGGATTGTTATCCGTTACCCATCGGAACTGTCGTCGACCGAGAAGAAAATGTCGCCAGCGCTTGAGCGCGTGTACGAAGGCCAACATTTCCTTCTTTCGTGCGTCGTCAATCGAGTGCACGGCGGGCACTTTCTTGCTAAAGTACTCGATCGGGTGCCAGTCCATGCCTTCATGTTGCTCGAGGACGACACCAATGCCATAGCCGGACACATCGGTAGTGACACATGTCGACAGAAATGGATCGTAGATGCGCAACACCTTCGGTAGTGACAATGCGGCTTTGAGGGCCAAAAAGGAAGTCCGCGCATTGTCGTCGAAGTTGAATGGCCGGTCCTCGCATTGAAGCTTGGATAAATGAGCCGCGATCTTCGAGTATCCCTTGATGAAGCGTTGATAGTAGCCGGCTAAGCCAAGGAAGGAACGCACATTTGTGATGTTCTTCGGCTCCGACCACTCTTGGATGACTTGGATCTTGTCTGACAACAGACTGATGCCTTCCGGGGTGACAAAATGACCCAAGTATTCCAGCTCTTGCCGGACAAATTCGCACTTGTCGCGGTTGGCTTTGTACTCGGCGCGGTGGAGTGTCTCCAACACTCGTCGAAGGTACTCAAGATGATCCTCCAATGTCCGGCTATAGACGAAAATATCGTCTAAGTAGACTAGCACGAACCGGTCCAACATCGCATGAAACTCGTTGGTCATTGCCGCTTGAAAAGTTGTCGGGGCATTGGTGAGGCCAAAAGGCATAACGACCCACTCAAAATGCCCGTACCCCGTCTTGAACGCGGATTTGTAGCGATCTTGCGGCCATATCGAGATTTAGTGATAGCCCGACTTCAAGTCCAACTTCGAGAAGAATTTCGCGCCGCCCAAACGCTCGAGAAGGTCGTCAATCCGCGGAAGAGGTCCCGCATTCTTGACGGTTTGTGCGTTGAGCTTGCGGTAGTCGATGCACAAGCGAAGATCCTTGTTCTTCTTCCGTACGAAGAAAACTGGCGCACCGTATGGTGAGCTACGGGGGCGGATCCAGCCCTTGTCCAACAGATCATCAAGTTGCACGCGGAGAACTACGAGCTCTTCTTTGCTCATGCGATAGATGCATCCTTTTGGCGGCACGGCACCGGCCTCAAGAATGATCTTGTGGGAGATCGGCCGATCCGGCACCACACCGATAGGAGAGTCGAATATGTCGGTGAACTCCTCGAGCAGCCGCACCACTCGGGGGTCCGAAGACAAGTCCGTAGGTGAAGATTCGATCGTCGCGACGACTCGTAGAAAACATAGGCCTATCTCGTCGGTTCCCGAAAAGACTTGGTCGTTACAACTTGGCACCGGATCGAGAGGTGCGGAAGACGAACGGTACATGGCACCTCGACGCCAAAGGCGTCGCGAACGGTAAGTGTCCGCCGATGGAAGCTTACCGTGTGATCCGCATTTGCAAGCCAAGGCATCCCCGAAATGATGTCGAAGTCCGTGTCCAAGACGTCAAACGTCACCGGTTCGCGTGCATGAGGTGCGAAATAAACCGACACAACTTCAATGTAGCAATCGAGGAGTTGTTGCGTCCGACCGTCCGCCAACTTGATTGTCGTTGGGTTTGGCTTCCTTCGAACTTGTGCGCCAAAGCCGACCCTTTGGATAAAGGACTGGCTGATGAAATTGCGAGTTGCGTCACTATCCAGCAAAGCGCTGCAGGACACTTGCAAATACACAAGAATCCCAAGATCAACCCACTAGGAATCGAACCGAAGACCTTTCGCCAAAGAGGCGAAACACTTAATCAATCGGAAAAGTGAGCTGGGATGAAAGTGAAGCCCCTTAAGGGACATTTCACCCCACCCCAGCATGGTATGTAATAGAAGTACATCCATGACCCGGTGTACCCAGACTCAACTCAACCCAGGACTTTCATCCACCTGTCAGACCTCAACCAAGCCACTGCAAGGGCGTCTGACAGGCTCTGCGCGCTTGCAAATACACAAGAATCCCAAGATCAACCCACTAGGAATCGAACCTAAGACCTTCCGCCAAAGAGGCGGAACACTTAACCAATCGGAAAAGTGAGCTAGGATGAAAGTGAAGCCCCTTAAGGGACATTTCACCCCACCCCAGCATGGTATGTAATAGAAGTACATCCATGACCCGGTGTACCCAGACTCTAACTCGACCCAGGCCTTTCGGCCACCTGTCAGACCTCAACCAAACCACTGCAAGGGCGTCTGACAGGCTCTGCTGCAGGACGCTTGCCCAACTTGGATGCGAACATAAAGGAGCGGTGCGTTGTTATCATCGTACCGCTGCATGCGAAACTCGCGGGCCACCTTGCTAACATACACAAGGATGCCCCCCACCGCAACTTCGTCATCCGTCGACAAAGGTGGTGGTGCATAGAAGGCTAAGTATGTGTGGAGATGGGCACATAGAGCTGCGCATTGCGGTCCCGACAAGCAGCCTGTGGAAGGGAGAGGAAGCCATGCAAAATCCTCGGACGTCAACGGATCCAAGACCTCTATGTTGAACTCGTGCGTCGAATCCCTTGAAGAACCACTTGAAGATGATTCATTGTCGTTGTTGTCGAACGGAGAACAAGCCGCACACACATCTTGTCCTTGAGCTTGAGAACCCAACGAAGGAACGAGAGGACTGTCGACTTCCGCATGTGCCTCAGAATGAATAGAGGTTGCTCGCGAAGCAACCGGTTTCGAAGGCGTCGAGAGTGCAGTCGCATCACTCTCGGCGGTGCTCACTTTCCCGAAGGGAATTTGCCTTCGACTTGCGTGGGGCACTGCGGGGTGTCGTGCACCACGCTGTTGCACCGCAAACAGTATCAGTACTTAGTACGGATGCGGTAAACGCCTTCCGAGATACCGTAATGTGTCCAAGGCTCTTGAGCCTCTGGCCCAGCCCCGAGGGATGAAGTGGTGTGTATCTTCGGTTTGCCGCATCCTCCCCCTCTGGCGGGGCGGCCACCATCCCGGGTGGCTGCCAATCTATCTCCTTCATCAGAAGAGGCAGCCTCGTTTGAAGGGTCGATCGCTGTAGTTGCTGCGACCACGACCACTTTCAGCCGATCTTGATCTCTGCCCTGACTCGCAGCGGACGAACGGCCCAAATTCTTGGCTTCGGTGTTCGTCACGATGATCTGCGAGGCTTTATCAAAAAGCTGCTCACTTGTGGTGAGCATCTCCGCAACTTGCGTCAAGGCGTTCTGCAACGCCGGACAACTCCTCCTGATGAAGAAGTGTTTGATGGCGATGAAGGTCGACGGCAAGTTGGGCGTGGACGCCAAGTGTTGGTACTCGGTTATCCGGTCCGTGCTTGGCAGGTCGTTTTGATATAACTGTTGAAGTTTCTCGGCTGCCTGAAGCTCAGGCGGCTCCACTTGGAACCGCTTATGCCATGTTGCCTTGAGATCAGCCCCACTGATCTTCGTATGCAGCTCGAAGACTGCGACGGTGTGCGTGGACAACATATTGTCCAGCCATGCCTGGCACGCGCCCCCCGAGCGGGAGTGTAAGTATGCGTGCCGGTTCGGCTTGCTGACGTGGTGAATGTCCAACTTCAACTCGAACTGGCGCCACCATGGAATCGGGTTCGTCTTCGCTGCATCGCAGAAGATCGACAGACCGTCAAACTTTGGGATGCTCTCCCGAGTAGTCGCGGTCGGACTGGCTGCGGCGGCACAAATCTGCTGGTCAATCCGCTGATTCGTCGCTAGAGCACCGTCCTTGAGAGTCCCGACGTCAATTTCCAAGACGTTGATGCGGTCTGTCAAGTTGGAGGGTCCGACGGGGTTGGCTGTTGTAGGCTGCTGTTCCAGCCGGCGTACCCAGTCAATCAGTTCGTCGATAAGTCGAGCCCGCTTCCGGACCAGGGTGTCCACGCAGAGGATGTCCTCTTGCTGTGCTACACAGGTGGCGACCAAGTCGCTCACATGCTCGATTGTGGTTGCAAGGCCACGCACAACAGGGGGGCACCCTCCTCTTCAGCAGCCACTGCCATTCGCCGACGATCACCTCGATATCCCCCTCGCATTCGAGGATTTTGTCTTGGCGTTGTCAACGGCGTTCGTCTGTGGCCTTCCTTGCTGCCTCTGTGCCCTCTTGTCGCTGTTGTTCAGCGAGGCGACGCTGCTCCTCTGCTTCCTCATCTTCCTTCTTACGTGTGGAGGTTGCCGCAGCTGCCCGTTGCTTGAACTCTGCTACCATGTCCAACATGCGGGTCTCATAGGCCTCGGTAGTCTCTCCCGGCTGCTGATCCATGCCGCTTGTCTTTGAGCGGGTGAGCACCATGCACTGATGTGACCTGCTGCTGCGGTGACTGGTTGCTGATGTGGCACTGCTGATGTGGCATCTCACCAATGCCGCCGCAGGGGGCACCCGGAGACATAGAGAAGACCAGAGGGGGCAACAACATAGGTGGGGAGGGGTGGGTTGATCACCCAGACAAGGAGCCACTAATCAAAAAGAAAAGTTTGAACTTTGCAAAAAAAAATCGAGAGAAAAAAAATACTCGTTTGCAAGTTCAGTAGGCTCCCAATTCCCCCAGAAGTGCGAAATTACCAATGAGGAAAAAAAATTTCGAACTTTCAAACTGCAAACGAATTCCAAAAAAAAATAAAAATAAAAAAATTTGTACGCGCAGTTTGAAAAATCATATCTGCAAGAGGGATTTCCCATACCGTTTTCAAAAAAACCAATTTCGGAAATTAAAAAAAAATATTCCGGCTTTCCAAGTAACGGGAAATTGCAAAAGGAAATCAAAATTTTTGAAAAAAAAGATATTCCAGATTTCCAACAACGAAATTTCAAATTTTCAGAAGAAAAACGAAAACGGAAATTTCAGGTGTTGCGCTATTGCGATTTTCCACAACAGAAAACAAAATCCTAGAAAAAAAAAAAAAAACAATTTTCGGCATTTAGGTCAAAAATCGCGATTTTGGGGGCTCTCTAATCAATCAATCAATCAATCAAGACTAATCAACTAATTAGTCCCTGCACACGTGTCAGATCAGGTTGTCCCGATTCACGTGCGGGGTTCCGATACCAACTGATACATGCCCAGTTGGGCAATGTAAATATATAGCCAAGGATCCGCAATGTGATGAAAAGGAATGAATGGACAATGCAGTGCTAGTAGAATCTCAACAAGCAGTGCACATCCTCATACATACAAAAATGGTGCTTTGTAGCACAGTGGAAGACTTAGATAAAAGTCCTGATCTGACTGGGACTGACCCCCCTCACGTAGTACAAGACAGCGTAGCGAAATGCTAGAATACCAACAACTAGCCCAACCAATGTCGCAATGCAGACCCAACATACATCATCCTCATCACAAGGTGTGAAGAGGCCTGGCGCCACACACAGGAAGAACGCGCCAGGTCCAGACCATACACAGACGAAGAGGAGGGGATCAAACGAAGAAGAGGGAGATGGGAATGCCGTCAATACCAAGTCTTCCGTACAAGTCCCAGATAATCCCTCGTCAAATGTCTGAAGCCCAATGTCGAGTCTGGATCCAAATGTCACCAATCCCGCTCTCTCTCCAAGTCTGCTGATGCAGTGAAGTCAGGTAGCGAGAGGGTGAGAGGGAGATGGTGGACTGAGAAGAGGAAGAAGAAGAACTCTCTCTCTCTCTCTCTCTCTCTCTCTCTCTCTCTCTCTCTCTCTCTCNTCTCTCTCTCTCTCTCTCTCTCTCATGTGCCAGCTACTAACCTGTGAAGATGGCGCTGTGCTGCAGGTACCTCGAAGACGAAGCTGGAGCCATGGCGCTGC